ACAAGTCTTATGAGGAGCGGCTGAGGGAGCTGGGGTTGTTTAGTCTGGAGAAGAGGAGGCTGAGGGGAGACCTTATTGCTCTCTACAACTACCTGACAGGAGGTTGTAGCTAGGTGAGGGTTGGTCTCTTCTCCCAAGTAACAAGTGATAGCACAAGAGGAAATGGGCTCAGGTTGTGCCAGGGGAGATTTAGATTAGATATTAGGAAAAATTTCTTCATGGAGAGAGTGGTTAGGCATTGGCACAGAGTCGCCCGGGGGTTAGGCATTGGAACAGACTGCCCAGGGAAATGGTACAATCACAGTCCCTGGAAGTATTCAAAAACCTGTGGATGTGGTGCTTAGGGACATGGTTTAGAGGTGGACCAGGCAGTTAGGTTAACGGTTGGACTCGATGATCTCAGAGGTCCTTTCCAACCTTAATGATTCTATGATTCTTTCTAGATAAGCTGGCTTGCAGGTTGAGAGAGAAAAGCCTGAGTCTTGCCCTGTAGCAATGATCAATACAAGAACACTGGAGTGTCCAGCAAAGGTTCACTGAGAAGAAGAGTGACAAACAAGACCAGACTGCATTATAAATTTTTTTCTGAATGAATATAGATTTCATGCCACTCCTGTAGCTCAGAAGTTAAGTACTATTCAACTTAATCTCTAGAGAAGAATAAAATATTGCAGCCATGAATACTGCAGGCCTGTGTTTCATCACTTTAAGACAAACATATGGGTATTTGAGTAAGCAGCTTTATTACTTTCTTTTTTCCTCTGTATTTAATACAGACATTCTCCCTGAAGAGTATTGGAATTCCAAATTCCCTGACTTCCAGAGCAAGCGCTTACATTTTACTTTGATACACTTTTATATTTGTTTTTGTTCTCCAACTCCATTTCTTGAAAGCAAAAAAATCTCAAGGGATTGAATGAGAATAACATTTCAAAGAACTGCAAAGTGTAAAACAATCAACTATACTGTCCTTTTCAAGATTGAATAGCTTAGAACTGGAGTTCACAAACAAGTTATTCTCAGGACAATGAGGGACAAAGTACCAGCTTCTTCAGCCAAGAACATGGCTCTTCCAAACTTGACATCTGATCTGAGGGCACCATATAATGCTGGACATGTCCCTGAGTCACCCCAGGAGCCTGCCTTATGCATTTCATGTATCAGCATGTGCCAGTTTGGATATTCTATGCAATTGCACAGCCCTTTTTAAGCTAGACAGAGAAGCAGCCATTTACAGCCACAGATGCGCAAGAACTTTGGTAGCACCACAGGTTGCAAGAGAACAAAGCCAAAGTGTACAGAACAAGTTCTCTCTTTGGGATCCTGCTCACCAAAGGCATACCCCACCTTACAACACCATACCTTCATTTCATCTTACTGTGCTCCTGAATTTCAAAAACTCCTGGAATTGCAGGCCCTGGCACTGACTATGCTCTTGTTAGCACAATGTAGCTGATCTGGGCTGAGCTGGCCGTAACTGCCTGTGAGAGGAATTGTCATGATTTAGCCCCAGCCGGCACCTAAACACCACACAGCTGCTCACTCACTCCCCTTCCCCCTGGTGGGATGGGGGCAGAATTGGAAGGGTAAAAGTGAGAAAGAAACTTGTGGGTTGAGATAAAAAGTTTAATAATTACAAACAAATAATAAAAATTTTAAAAAATGTAAGGAAAAGAGGGGGAAAAACCCAATAACAATGAGAGAGGAAAATAAAACCCAAGAAAAACAAGCAATGCAAATGAAAACAATTGCTCACCATCAACTGACCGAGGCCCAGCCAGTCCCCAAGCAGCAGCCCCCCAGCCAACCTCCCTCCCAGCCTTTACTGCTGAGCATTCCATGGTATGGAATACCCCTTTGGTCAGCTGGGGTCAGCTGTCCCAGCCGTGTCCCCTCCCAGCTTCTCATGCACCCCCAGCCTACTCGCTGGTGGAGCAGTATGAGGAGCAGAGAAGTCCTTGATGCTGTGTAAGCACTGCTCAGCAGTAACTACAACATCCCTGTGTTATCAACACTGTTTCCAGCACAAATCCAAAACATAGCCTACAACCTACTATGAAGGAAATTAACTCTATCCCTGCCAAAAACAGTACAGGTATCCATGCTGCATTTCAAGGAATAATCAGTGGGGAGAGACTGAGCAAGAATAAGAAGCTACTCCACTGCCACCCTCACTCAGCAAAGGTTTACCACACGTAAGTCATGCATGTACAAAAGTGGTTCACATAATACTGGGTACATCCACTTCAAGTATTTCCTTTGTTGGTATTCCTTCTACTCATTAAGCAAAACTAAAATTAGATCGAGAACTTTTTATATCCTTCATAGTCAGAGTAATGGAAAGACAATAAATACCAAATTCTTTTGTGAATTTTTTATATTTTCATAAATTCTGTGTGGAAAGCATAGCAATCCACCAAAGGAGCACAACAGAAGAAATTATTTTTAAATTAAATAACCAATAAGAAGCTAAGAGCACATCTGATCAAAAGCCTGAAGCACACAAATAGTTTCAAAGGTAAAGAGGCACCTGCAAATTTCTGTTTTAAGTTCACACAATTATTTTACATGACCCATTCTAATTTACCAAATAGATAAATCATATTTTACAGTAATATTTAAAGAGTCTTCAGTCAAATTTAAAAATTATATCCATAGCCAGACACTAAAAGCACTCTGAAATTCTGTGGTGGAAATTAATTTAGAAAGCGAACTTTGCTTCTAGAAAAATTCCAGTCTATCAAGACATATTATGAACTACTTCCAATGAACATTCATTTCTGAAACAACTGAAATAGTTTCTTTTTAAAAAAAATTAGAGCACAAATAACTGAAATTGCTTGAAATTTTATCTGCAATACCAAAGGATTAGGTCTCCTTTTTAAAGTATATTCACAATCCCTCAAAAAAAACAGATTTCCAAAAATAGTTGTTTAGCACTCCAGCCACATCATAGACTACCATTACCATAACTCCAGAAGAAACCCTGTAATTGAAGTGTAGTTTCTGAGGGTAAGGTGAAGAAGGGATGGAAAAGAAAGAAATCTATTGCTAGAAGAAGAAAGTCAACGGAACTGCTACACTACTACCCAAGTAGTTTCAAGAAGTGTTTGGCTTTTACAAAGAAAACAACATAACCGATGTCATGAATCAAAATCAAGTATTAAAGAATTCATTCAGTCATGCTTTGCTGATGTGAAACAACTGCTCCAAGCTACTTACCTTTTATTAACTGCTCATAGAATTGAGGCTCAATGGCACCAACAGCCATGAATTTTCCATCGGAGGTCTTGTAGGTGTCATAAAAAGGCGCACCACCATCTAGCAGGTTCTCACCTCGAGGTCTCTTCCAAAATTCCAAATGTTGTGATTTCCACAGGAAAGAACTTAGGTATGCTACTCCTTCTACCTTGAAGGTTTAAAGGAAAAGTAACAGCTTCAGTAAATTAGTTGGCATATTACCTTAATTCTACATAAACAAAACAGCAAAGAAGTACTACTGGTTCTGTCCTTTGGTAAGATTTTTAATAACAAGATCTCTGGTAAGCAGTTTAATTTCTTAAAATTTTCAATTACTGTATATATTGCATATGTGAAATCATCTAGAATTAGAGAATAACAAGGAGCATAGGTGTAATAATGCAGCTTCAGATGGATAACGCACTTTCAACACACAAAGTTTCCTCATTTAGCAAGTTTATAATCCTTAGGAGTTCACAAAGAGAATGTAAGTAATTAGGTGATGGGACAAGCTTCTTGGCTCTATAGAACTTCAAGTATCTGACAGCCGTCAAGCCTCCTAAACCTCTGGAAATCAAGATGCCTATACCAGTCCTGTAAGTATCAAACTTTTACCTCAACATTAACTTCTTCGGATTTACTGATTATAGTAAGACTGCTATTTTTAGAAGAAAACTGGAAAGAAATCAAAGGTTAAAGCTCTCATACCATGGGAACTGGGAAGCTCATCTTCATCACTAAGTAAAAACAAAAATTATTCTCCCACTCTCATCACTGGCAGGTACATAGACGTAGCAAGGTAATCTCTAAATAGGCAAGCGTCTGATGAATACAGCACTAGAAAACATGTTTAATCCCGTTCCAACTTGCTCCTTAAAATTTTGGCTATGTGGAGTATAACAAGATGAAAATGCAGCTTGTTCAGCTTTTCAATAGTTATCAAGCTTGTACCAGTCTTTCCAAGCAAAATCACATCCTACAGTTTTGCTCACCAGCAGAATCCATTTCCTTCCAACTGCATTAGAAAAGCTGTAAGAGAAGATGAGGCAGTAACAGTATGTGGCCTGAAACATTCCAGTGGAACAGAGAAAAACCTGAGCTGTACCATTTTGAGTATCATTTTGATTGATTCATTTTCAGCTGTGTAAAATTAACCTAATATTGTCTATAGAGAAAAGCACAGAGACTGTACCAAAATAAAAAGCTACTGAATTTTCACATGGAAAGATCTACTAGTTTCTACCGTTCTAAACAAGAATTTAAAACATGCAAATCTTTGAAGTACGCAGTCATGAAGGCTTCATCATTTAATGTGTATCACTTGGGCTCTTTCTCTAGCCCCTGCCACAAGGACAGGAATACTTCTGTCCTATTTGTCACATGTTAAAGTCAATGAAAGTACTTTCATATGAGAAAATACTGTATACCTTCATCTACATGTTTGCAAAATGATTGCAAGGATATCAAAATAGTGTCTGCTTTACTAATGCTCTGATCCTGCACTGCTCATATTAACAAAAAAATACACAAAAACATTGGAAGTAAGAATAATAATAGATGAGGATAATATCAGAATAAACTCTAACTGCAAATTAGATTTTGGTGCTGACAGAACTACTTACAATACCTATGTACAGTGCTACTTAACTCTGGAAACACTTCAAATAAAATAGCACGTCTGTTTTGGACTGGTATAGGGACTTTAGAAATATCCCTGGCTGGGCAACTGGACAGCTAGCTTCTGCCTGAGGCCCACTGCAATTCAGAGACAAGTAAAAAGGTGTCTAACATCTGCACCAAACCTCCAAAGACATGCTAACACCACACACACACGCTAACATGGTCATTTTCTTTTAAAACATGAAAAGAACACCATGGGGAGACTCCACTTAGCCTAATTGCAGAATGATTACAGTAACAGTTACGTGTTTCACTTAATGTCTCCCTCATGCTAAAAGCATCAGCAGTCTCTGAGGCAGGGACCAGAACCCAGAGGCACCACCCCACTGGGTGACCTGTCTGCTTCGCAAGTCTCCTGTTCCTTCTGCAGAGTGAAACAGTTCAAACAAAACTGAGAATGAATCCACACTAACCTAATTTTTATCCTCGAGACTGATGAACGCCTCTAGGATGTGGGAGTTTCAGTTTTGAATACGTCCAGGCTGAGAAACACCTGGAACCCCAGTCATCTGTTGGACAACTAAATGCTCTTGCCATGAGACTATTATGCAAGTGATCATTACCACCATCCTCTCCTGTGGCTGTCTTTTCACAAAGATTGAGTCATGCTTGGTCAGATGCCTACCATCAGCAGAAGGCTCTGTGTCTGAGTTTGGTGTGAACCTGAAGTGTGGCCCTGGCTCACATGCCTCTATTCCAGGGTGGTGCAACAGTGCAGATGTACCATTGCGCCTACCGCATTATACCTCAGTGTCCACTCCACATCCCACTGGGCACGTGGGAACTATCGGGCTCACTGTAAGATACCTATGATCCCCATAGAGTCAATAAGAAGAGACAGCAACTAACATGAATCAGTTCAGACCAGATATTTAATTCTGCTGAGGTAGACAGCTGAAACACAGGACCTGGTGTCTACTTTTTACGCAGCGCAACAATAACATGGGACACTGTGAGCAGGTGATGCAATTCTAGCCCTTGGCCTGATCCTCTCTACCCTCTTTTTGTATTAGTTTAGTTTCATTAACTAGAGGCGTTCCTCGTGTGTATATTACTGATCATAAGAATGCTCCAAAGCCATTTTTCAGCTTTCCACATAGTAATTAGAACTAAAAGATAAAAACCAAATTTTTCTATCACAAAAATTTGGATCTCAATCTAGAATTACTAGCCTCAAAGACAAGAAATAATTAATTTTTTAGATTACCTCAGAAAAATGGACATTACAATAAAAGGAAAAAAGAAACAAGTGGTCAGCAAAACAATCCATGAAGTAAGATGAAAACTTAATAAATGTAATCCTGAGGACACAAAGCTGCTAAAAAAGAAATTCATTTTCCCTCTTCTACTGGAGAAAATTCCACCATGTGTCAGAGTCATTAACATATTCAGACTACCTAAACTGTACAACAACTTAAGTAATAGGCCTATTAAAAAAGAATGTTAAAGCAAAATGACAGCTGAAATGCTGCGGTATCGCCATTTTAAAAATATCTATTTCCATGAAACAAACTTAGATATAAAAACAGGCTCATCAACCCAGTCTATTTAACTGTCTTTGCTGTTGATGATGCATGTATGTTTTTCACCATCTCACTGAAAGTCTGTTCAAGTGAAATCAACGTATCAAAATGCCAGGTAAAGTACATCCAGTGATATGGGACAATATTCCATCCATTTCACAGGACACCAGGAACATCAGCAGGGAACTGTAAATTCCACAATTACAATGAGACAAGAAAAAATTGAAAGGGAGAAGTTCTTAGGGCTTAAAACACAAAAAAACACAACACGTTCCATTCCCAATGAGCTGGAGATCTCATTAGGACATTAGCACACCTACAGTGATTCTTTTCATAACCAATTCTTTCAATTACTTAAAGTACCGATAGTGAAAACAAGGTAATACTCGAAACTACAAGAAATATCTTTTAAAATATTTGAAGACTTGTCACAATTCTCCACACTTTTTGCCTCACAAATATACAAACTCCTTCAGTTTTTCTTTGTAGGTCTTGTTTTCAGACTCACATAATTTTTGTTGTGTTTCTCGGACTTCCTCAAGTTGGTAATTTTTTTTTTTGAAAGATGATGGCCAGCATCAGAAACAGTATTTTCCTGAGGCCTTATAAATGTTGAATAGATTAGAAGAGTTACTTCAGAAACTTTGCTGGCTCTATTTCCTGTTTATACATCCTAATACAGTGTGTATGTGTTTTACAACAGCATGATATTGTTGACTCATGTTCAGCTTGTGACTACTACAAACCCTCAGGATTGTACTTTAGCCAATTGTTCTCATGCTGCATTTGTGCAGCTAATTGTTTCTGCCTAAGAGAACTACAGAGCAGTGGTCTCCATGAAATTCAGCCAATTTTTTGAGGTCATTTCTCCAATTTGAAAAGGTCATTTTCAATTCTAATCCAAGTGTCCAACACACTGGTAGTTCTTCCCGCATGCATATCAGCTGTAAATTTACTAAACACAATCGCTTATCCACCATTAAGCTTATTGGAGAAAACACCGAAAAAACCCTAACAAACAGATGCCTGTGGAACTCCAGTTGAGAAGTTCTTCATTTTGACAATCAACTACTAATAACTACTGTCAGGGTAAAAACATTAGACCAGTTTTGCACTGATCCCATAAAATTTTCACCTAGACGATAATGCCATGGCCTGCTTCTGAGAATGTCATGTGAATTTGTCAAAAACTTACTCAAGTCAAGATAGCTAACATCCCTTGCTATTCTCCTACCTTCAAGAGCTCTTCAACAAAGGGATTTTTTTACATTAATATAATTTTTTTCAATTTATATTTAAGTCCAAATTACAGCTTTCACTGTATCACAACACCTTGAAGGGAGGTCAAATTTTAATTGCAATGCTCTTTAAAAAGAAAAACAGAAAAGGAGAAAGACAGAGAGAGAATAAACACTTGCAGATAATATAGGTTTCAAGGATAAATGTAAATACGTATTTTTCCTCTGTGTGTAAGTGGGTGGCCTTGCAATGAAAAATTCCATAGTATTCATTATTAAGCTAATTTAGCCTTTCATTTATTTTACGGCACATTAACGCAAAGTGTTTGAAATTGACTTCTTGGCAATAATCTGTGGCAGTGTAATCATTCACAGTGCTTCCAATAAGACAAGACCTGTTGCAAATTCATAAGCAGATGTATGTTGGAAAAAGTTAATGCAATTCTTTATTTTATTAGGATCGTAATTTTTGCTGTTATGCATGATGTTAATTGTTTATTATACACCCTATTTCCATACATCAAACTTACTCATAAAATATATACAGCTAATATTTTTTGAAGAAGACAGACTGGTAAAAGGAAAGATAGGGAATGGCACAGAGGGAAAGCCACAGTGTGTGTCCCGTGTGATAAGGATGTTATGGCAACAGTGATATGTGAAAACTGCTTGCAGGTGAAGGAATAGCCTTTTTATGTTATTACTTACTTTTCCTTTCCCAAGTTCTCAATTTTAAACCTTATGAATAGCTCCAATTTCCTCCCTTTTACAGACCTAGAGCAGGAAAAAACCCAAACAAACAAACCTAAGAAACCCCACCTTCCTCAAGACCAAACTTACCATACTTGCATCAATGACCTGCCCTTTGCCAGATTTCGTACGTTCATAAAGGGCTGTAACAATGCCCATTGCACACATGACACCTCCACCAGCAAAATCAGCCAGAAGATTTATGGGTGCATAAGGATTTTCATCTTTTCTACCCAGCTTTGACAGCACACCTGACAGTGGAGCAAACAAAGCAAACATAAGTATAAAATTAATGATAAACATTCATTTCTACAATTAAAGTTTCATTCTTTTCAATCTGTGCAAGTAAACAAGGGACAAAGCAAAGTTCTACCAACAGTTTTCCATCTCTACTCGGCTGTGTCTTAGCAAATAGTTACTCTTTAATTCACAGAAGAATAGAATATCTGAAAGCATATTAGCGACGATGCATTTAAATAAATAGATTAATAAAAGTCTCACAGATAAACCATTGATAATTTGGCTATATAGGGACAAAATTTCATCCAAAAAAACTTGTGTGCAATAATTCTATATTAGTACTTTGTACATGCATAGAACCTCCCTCACAAGAATTCAATAGGCATTATGAACATGTCCCAAAGAAGCTTTGGTAAATTTTTCTTCTTTGAATCTTTTAAAGTAAAAATGCAGACGTGTAGTCTTCTGTGCACATAAGCCATGAGTTAATAATCATAACAAAGTCTTTCACACCAACAACTGCACTTTAGTCCTATCCTCCCTCTTCAGCTACCTTTGGGAAAAAAAAGAGGAGTGGGTGAGTAACACAGAAAGGTTATCTCTGATTGCGTGCAACACAGACACAGGGAACCAATGCTTATGCCAGAAATCATGCAGAAAAGAAAGGGAATAGAGCAAAGGCTAAACCAGTTTACTTCAGATGGAGCTTTGAATCTGTTAGCATTTCTCTGCCATCCTGAACAACCTCTTTACTGTCACCTTACTCTTTGTAGTTCCCTCATTGCGGTTCCCTTTGGGCAAGCAAGAAACTCTGCAGTATGATCATACCTCTCCTATGTCTGTAGCCTAAGGTCTGAGACTTGCAGCATACACGGTCAAAGTCTCCTGAAAACTCCATGATTCTGATGCACTGTTTAGTTAGCTAATGGTCTAATGCACTTCCTAAGCGCAAGCAACTGAGTGCACAGTATAAAGAAGTTTCTAAAGCCTGTAGTGCAAACGTAAAGCCCTGTCGCTGACTAAAACCTCACTTTTAACAGTCTAAACAGGTCGTCACAGGCACCAGCAGATTAACATGTTTACATATATCTGGAGTTCCTCAGGCAAGCCATTTTTTAGTTAAAGAAAGCCAAAGCTCATCAGGAAAATACTCGGGATATGAGATCTCATTTTTGAGGAATGGTACCTCCCAAACACGTTGTCCTATTTCCTTTAAATAGGCAGAAAAACTTGACCTGTGAGATTTCAAGCAAAATGATTTAATTTTAGGAAGACACCACTAAATAAAATACTACTGATTAAATCAGCTCCAGAGAAAAAAAAAAACACTTCTTTTTGTCAACAGAAAGTACTACAATCTAAGGTAGCGACGGACTATATGAAATCATCTGGACACAAAGTCAAAAGTGTTTCAAACGAGGCGTCCTTTCTTTAATCTTTTTTATTCTCTGACAGTCTCACATAACGAGAGAAGACTGAACCCATCCCTGAAGAAACTTAATTCCACAACACAATGGCTCCCCATAGTAGGTGATACTGGATCACCACATTTGCAGTGCCTCTGCTCTGGCCCTTTGCTGGGGCTAAAAGAAATGCTTTATCCAGTTAGAAGCTAAGAAGTTTTGGGCCACTTTCTCTCCTCGCTCACAGGCTCGAGAAGCAGCAGAGGCAGCAGCAGCGTGAACAGCAGTAGGTGGGGCCATGATTGCTACCACCAGAGCTGGGTGATTTTGTTGCTGTTTGTTACTGCATACTTCTAGAAACATGACACTTAAAACCAGCATATTGTCTGCAACACCTTAAGGAAACATAGCATTGCCGCTTTATTTTAAGCCTACTTTCCTTTTGGTTGGTAGCAATGGAGAGATATTTACAGCAGAAAAGCACAAGAGCTCAAATGACTTAGGCTGCCTAGGTTTTTTTTGCTCAAAAAAAAGCTGCTCACAAACACACAAAATAATCTGCAGCCCTTTTGGGATTATAAGCATACAGATTTTCTAGGAGAGAGGCCCTGAAGACAGACAAAAATGCATAAAAACTTCAGCTTTCTCTTCAAAGTGAAAAACTTTTCTCAGACTGAACAGCACAAAGGAAGCAAAATATTGTACAGCCTGAGAAGACATGCTGACCCAGCCTAACAGCTCACTGCTGCTGCCAAAACGAACAGCCTGTCCAGCCCACGTTTTCCATGTGCTGACTTTTTATGTTTGTTGGATCCCTTAATGAACTGCTTCACCTCAATAACCTGGCAGAAAAACATCCTAATTTCTCCTGGCCAGTTTTTGACTTGTGAGGGAGCTTACAGAGGGTTAAGCAAGTGCCAAAGCCATCTGGAGAGAAAGGAGCAGGGAGAAGCACACAGAAAGAGAAGGAAATCCTCCGTTCACTGACAGAGATGCTTCAGATCTGCTCAGCTGTTTCAGCAGACTGCACCTCAGGTGATTTGAGCTATCTGCAAATAACCTTTCAATAAACTCTTAAGTCTTGATTTAAGGGGGGAAAAAAAGCCTTATTTGACAGAAAATTTTACAGCCTACCTGATAAAGACAAGAAATTGATGTCATGACCTGCATGCTTGGCATATTTTCCCTTCTGGCCAAATCCTGTAAGTCTAGCATAGATGAGTCTGGGATTCTCCTGTAGAAGGACCTCTGGACCAAGCCCAAGATTTTCCATGACACCTAAAAAAGACAAAGGCATGTAATCCTAATTCACGTTTATTTTTAACAAGGCTCAAAATATACATGGTTCAAAGTTAAACTATACAACCACAGAACTGAATTGCAATTCATGAAGTAATACATTCTAATTCAGTATCTGTATTACAATGTGAACAGCCAGGATGTTATAAACTACCAACATACTGCATACATTTTGAATACAAGCCAATTAAGTGGAAATTAAGCTTTAGGGTCCTTTCTTTTTTTTCATTTTTTTTTCCTGTTTTACTTCCCCAAAAGACTGCCAGACAGCTTGCTGTAATCCATGTACTATTGGATGAGAGAGAAAGCTACCAAAGGCTTGTTGAGAGAGAGAAAGAGTGAGAGAAAGAGCAAACTCTTACCTTTTCCACATTAAAATTACTTGAAATTGCTTCCATCTTTCACTGGACTATACTTTCCTTACTGTATTAGCCTCTCAGTACCCCATGTGTTCCTAGATCTTTTAGCTCACTGATGCAAATGGACCATGCCACTATTCCACAAATGATTTGGAACAACTGCACAAAAGAAAATGTGTTCCTTTGTAATGCAGAGGGTAAGGAACTTTTAGAAATCAATGAAATGTATGTTTGGTCAGCATGGGTTTACAATAATCAAGGCTAAAATTCTGATCTTGCAGATCTAAAATAGTGGCTTTAAAAGAAGCAAGTTCAAGTTGCAAATAAATGATACATTTTTATTGGCTCAGTGCATCTTGGTCAGACTATGCCATATAATCTACACTGACACTGCAGGGAGACACATTTTGCAGGGGAAGGGATAACAGAACTTCAGTGCCTATTCCACCCCAGAATCTATTACTGCAACTTGTTTCACAAGCTAATCCATAATATTACTAAATCTTCAAATTGCTTAAGATCTGTTTCTATTGTATTACTTACTGGGCAGTGCCATGTGATTAATGCCAAGGAGAAACCAGTGAAATTTCGTAAACAGCAAGATTTTCAAAAGCACAAGTGAGAACTGGCTGCCAAATAAACCCTGGTGTCACAAAGTCATTGTTGGAAGGTCAACGGTACATGTGCGTTTAAAGAAACTCTCCTGCCACTTGGGCTCTCATCTTCTCATTGCTTCACACCAGGTTCACGCTGGATCACAGACTTGCCAAGTTTAGTTACAGGCCCATAAAAGCTAATGTCTAGTTACAAAATTACCTGCATTTCCAGATTTAAAAAAAAAAAAAAAGCAAGTGCCTATAAAACCAAAGAAAACAGGAATTTCCATGATAAGAAAAAAAAAAAAATTCCACTAGAAAATAGAAAGTAGCTACCATGAAAACAAACAAAACCAAAAATTCTTAAGGTAAAAAACATCACAATCATAAAATCCCATTTTCAGAATGAAAAGCATTATCTGTGACAGAGGACATGTAAACCTGTTTATGATGTGTGATGTTTAACTGATACAGCCTTCTATTTCTAAACTGACTGCAGAAACCTCAAAACACTTTAGCTAGCTCCTCACTGAAGCATGAGAATGCTTTGGGTTGGAAGGGACCTTTAAAGGCCACCTAGTCCAGCCCCCCTGCAATGGGCAGGGACATCTTCAACCAGATCAGGTTGCTCAGAGCCCAGCCTGACCCTGATGATACTCTTCATAACAGAACAGCATCCTCAGGGAACACAAGGGATACTGAAAGAGCCCATGCATGAGCATCAGATGAGCGTCTGGGTATGGTTTATGAACGAAGAGAGCATGTTAGATCTGCTGTATTCAGAGGAACCACAACCTCTGAGACTTAGACCACTATCGGCTACATCTTACGCACATGCTAACCTTACAAATGTGAGTTGAATTATGTCAGCAGGACTGATGCCCAAGCTCATGTGTGACTCCTCAGCTCAGACATCCTCCGATGCCGTCCAGAACTATTTGTTCAGTCCCTCAGTCAGTGGGGCAAGGCCCTGTGTCCTGCTTTCAGCTGGGACAGAGTTAACTTTTCTTCCCAGTAGCTGGTATAGTGCTGTGTTTTGGATTTAGGATGAGAATAATGTTGATAACACACTGATGCTTTAGTTGTTGCTAAGCAGCGCTTACACTAAGTCAAGGACTTTTCAGCTTCCCATGCCCGGTCCGGTGCACAAGAAGCTGGGAGGGGGCACAGCCAGGACAGCTGACCCAGACTGGCCAAAGGCCTATTCCATACCATATGATGTCATGCTCAGTATATAAACTGGGGGGAGTTGGCTGGGGGGCAGTGGTTGCTGCTTGGGGGCTG